CTCGTCTCGACGTATAGAACTGTCTGAATTCTTTATCGAGTGCGCCATTGCTCCGCGGATGTTTTGACCTAATTTAGTCGTAATGTCACCGTCCAAGCAACGGAAAGCTGTGGGGAGCGAGAAATGCGGAGAATCCGTTGTTCTATAATAGAGACAAAATTGTCAGCCTGAGGTTGTGCGCTCTGGCGTGCTAATATGTACGGAGGTTGGCAGGAAGGAAAGAGAAAGAAATGAATCACAAAAGAAGATTACGCAAATCCACGGAAAACGCTCTCGCGGTGTAGTGTAGACCTGCGGCACACTGAACGGCACCTACGCGTTTCTTACGCTCCTTATGTCGGTCTTTAATTTTTCCTATTTTTTTCTCCCAACTCTCAATTTCGTAGTTTCCTAAAAGCTTCGAAGATGGTGAAAGTATTTTCCGCGGCTTTGTAAAAAAGACGTGTAGCGGAATAATGCCACGATAACAGCAAACCAGCTCCGTGAAAATCCCCACATTGGAAGAATTTTCGTAAAAAGTTATCCATCCGAGGGTAGCGATCGACTCCTCATTGAATTCCTTCAGGCCCTTTATCGTTATAGTCCGGCTATAGCCCACCCCCCTCCTCCCTCCCTAGGATTAGGTTATCGGAATCAACCCGGTTTGTTGGCACATAATGTGGCGTAAAATGAGAGATAAATCATTGTATATAACAATTAACAACCGACGTCATTATTAGCCCCGAGAAGTTGGAGTGGCGCCGCTCGGTGGGAGGCTTGCATGACGTCATGGCACGGACTCTTCAAATCTTCCTGTGTCACGCGCATACATAACACGCGCTCGCCTCAAACGCCGTTGCGCTGACAGCGTTCCCATTTTGCTTGTCTCACGCCTAAAATAAATGACTAAAGCAAGATCGATGATGTTCCTGGTAAAACAATAAAAAAACTAAATTTTTTTTTTGGGTAGAATCGCCAACGGTAGCTACGCTCCAGCGTAATCCCTTTGATGAGGTTTGTTATGGTGTCGCGCCGATTACCTCGAAGATGGGTTTGATTCTCGGCCACGGCAGCCACACTGCGATGGGAGTAACCAGCAAGACGATGCATGTGCAGCAGATTAAAAAAAAAAAGCAAGGTGACCAAAACTACTCTGCAGCGTGCCTCACAATCATGTCGCACTTCTGAAACGTATACGACAGTGTACTTGCATTTCAAGTTGCGTTGTTCAGGGGCAATTCCTTTAAAAAGATGTGATTGTGTCGCTTCCACAATTTGTGTCTGCATTGGACGAATCGGAATAACTGCGGGAGCGTTTTCTGGTTTTTTTTTTTCGTTTTGTTTTTTGTTCTCACCCGAGAATATCGCTGCGCGTTAGTTTTTCTTGTGTGTAGTTGCTCATGTCTAAGGCCGTTAATTAGCTTTATGTTTTTGGTAATAATTTCAGGGCTCCGTTTCACTAGAAAAAGCGAGTGGAGGATAATTGCAGAAAATGCTATTGATTTCAGATAGTGTCTACATCCAACATCCTAGCAACTGTGTTGTCACGCTTGTAAGTACCAGTTTAGATAGCCACCTGATGAATAAACTTTTCCCATGGCTGATTACCTCAAAACAGCATCAATCTGTATATGAACATGACGTGCGAGACTAATCATTCCTTCATTGAGGCAAAGGACGTTTCATTATCACGTGGGCTACGAAGGGGACTCTGCCATCGAAACTGTTAATTTCGACTTTTGGGGGTTCGTTTTGCCGCCAATCGCTATCAGCAGTGCTCCTACGAAAAGTGAACATTGCCGTTTGGGATGTGGTGGTAGATCGAGTCAGCTAATCGCGTAAAGCAGGGTAGGCGACTAGGTAACCCTGACAACTGATGAGAAGAAATCTGTACATGAGATCCGAGTATACAGACGTCTCAGAGTTCCGTAAAGCATTCTGTGGTATTCAGCGTTACTTTTTTCCCACTATTATAAACGATTGTGTATCAAAAACAGATTAATTTAACTAATCCTGCATTCCAAAGCTACAATGAGCTACAATAATGCACAGGCAGGCATAACTTGCACTGTAAATCGCAATGTTGTGAGTAAACTGAATCCTTTTTAATTTCATTTGTAATAATTCAACACAAATGTTTATTAACGTAGTCTATGCCAATTGTAATGAACGCAGACACATTAGCACGAATATTTTTCGGCATTGATTTCTTCGACTACGTGCATGGTGAAAACAACTGTGGTGTCGCTGTCCTGCAGCTTCAATTTCACAGTAGGTTCATACTTTCTGCAGCCTAGTTAACTTTTAACAGCAATATATACCTTTACTTTGTACCTTTAGCAATCTGCTATTCGAAACTGAGATGAAATGACCACCGTATCACTGAACAGCGGGTACACAGTGGGCTCGGCGAGAAGCGATGGTCGGTGGTGGAGCAGGCGAGTCGTGACGTCACTTCGCCGCGACTGCTGCGACGCCAGTGTTTGTTCTCGGGGCTAATAAGAAAATGTGCCATACGACATTCACTGAGGAAATAGTTTAAAAAAATCCTGCAGTGCTCACGACAGATGACCAGCAGCAGATTACGGTGGTTTAGTAACTGCGATTGAAGTTCATGAAATGCGTGCGCATTGCTGATGCTCTTTAAGCATTTATTTTTTTTTCCTTAAAAGAGACATGGCTTATGTGGCGCCAAAATTCGCGACCAATACCTAATGGCGGCTTCACAGAAAAAATTTGTATATTGAACGTTACGATTAAGCCAGCAGGTTAGTTAATCGAGAAGTAGTTAGAAAATTCTTTATCAGGCCGTTCCTTAGGTTGCCTATATAGTTTTTAAGGATAATCAAACAAACTATTTTGCAAACCATAGCGAAATATTTTTCTTCACAGCTTACATTTGTTGATATAGCAAAGATATTGTCCAAAACGAGTTGAAAACCTAAAATGCGTCTTCACGTACTACCTTCGTGTTACTGTGCTTAAATTTATGCGCGTTTAGCAAAGGGTTAAACATAAAATAAAGCATTGGATTTCACGTTATCTTTTAATTTACCACAAGACATCTGGTTACACTGAGGTTATTTGACAGACAGACAGGCTGAAAAGTCCTCTTCACGCTTTCTTCTCTAAGCTGCTTCCCGAAGGTCAAATACAGTGTTTAAGTAATTGAGATGCTTTATATATATATACATATATATAGGGGGGGGCGGGATAGGTGCGTGAATGAGTGATTGGATGGGTTTTTTCCGCTCTTTGCCGCGCTTGCTAACGTTAAGCGCGCCATTGCGTGAGGATTGCGCAAACAGATTCCCATGTAAAAACGAGGCAAAGTGAAGTATACTTGGTGCTCCGCAATGACGTGCTACATATTTGAGCCACGCACCTGTTGCTCAACATATATCTCATATTTCTTGAAGTAAAAAAAATTTGAAGAACATGCCGTCTTTGTACGCTTTCAAAAATACACCCTGGACAAAGCAGCTTGTGTAACCCATACCTGGTAATTTTCTGAAGCCGCTCATTTTTCTATAGGAGTGAGCGCTATAGCAAAACGTCATGGAGAGCTGGTTTAATCAGAGCCCTATACGGCTCTCATTAGGCCTTACTGCATGACGTTCTTACTTCTGACATACTGGCTTTGACGTGTATGCAGAGGCCAGAGCCAGTCGACCAAAACAGTCTGTTAAGAGAAACAGCAAACACCTGAGCATTCTTCACTCAGCACAAGGGAAATATCATTTAACGGCAGCTTGGAGTATAACTAAGAAAATGCCAGCACAGGACACCATGGCGTTTGGTTTTTCCGAAGCACGCTCAATATTTCCGTCTCCATAAATGTTGCTCGATAAAGACAGTGAAGGCAAGGCGATTCTGCGAATATCTTTTTGAAGCAGTGCAAGCGTGTACTCGTGCTAGTAAAGCAAGACACGAGGATTAAAACTATAACGTTCATGCCTAATTTTTCCTGTACAGAATACCCGCAAAGATGTGGGGGGCATTGCTTTTAGAAATAGTTTTTTGATTACTTGTTAATAAAAGCAGTGCTTTGAGCCTGACATGAATGATATGAATGTCGTTACAGAAGTTCGGAAGAAAATTTTACAGGAAGCAAATGAAGTCTAAACCTTTTTTCATTCAAATATAAATAGCTTTCAGCGTTGTTTGGCTTTTTTTATTCTTGTTGTTTTTGTTTTTTGTATGCATGCGCACGTCCTCGTGCTGTCGTTTCACTCACGTGTTTACCAGCATGTGTAGTTTGGCAGCAAATACAGCCCACTGGATCCCGAGCAAGGTAATTAACAATGACAACTGTTCCACCATTTTAAATATTGACCGACAAAACACGAAAGACGGGGTACATTTTGCGCAACATTGAAAGTCATGTTGTCTGGTGCAGAGAACGGTAGCGTATCTTAGGGAATAGTATCCAACCAATAAAGGGTGTATTATATGCTGTGCAGGAACTTACGGAGGCGCAAGCCATGACTTATTTTGTACGGTTCTTATGTGCTCGAGCAAACTGTTGGACATGTCTGTTTTCATGACACACTGAATTAAAAAACAACAACAATTAAACAGATCACATCAGATTCGGAAGCTGTCAGTGTCGAGAAGTGTTAGGTATTCCATGTTTGCGAATGCTCACTCCAGCTTTCCCGTGCCGCTTGTTTCTATGAGCCTCAAAACTGATTTGGAAGTGCGAGTCACGGCTCCAAAGTTAATTTTGTTCTGCCTGTTTAAAGCTGATGCGCGATCTTTATACATTACTAAGCATCAAAAGCGCAATGTACAGAGAAACAAGCTGAAACAAGGAGACTTCCTCGCCAAGACACTCAGACCGCGTCCCTGCAGCACATCTTCACAGCACACACGCACCGTGCGCAAGGCAGCAGTGGAGAATAACCACGACTAATCTAAAACTTGAGAACAAAGTATCACACTACACAGCCCGAAATGCAGGAGAAGATCGCGACAGCGTACTCATTGAACTTGATTTGTGGCAGACAGGTGCAACTTACCTTTCTTTAGCGGCAACCAAAGCTGGCTGCACGAGGAGACGAACTTTCTGTAGAGCAGACCGTGTGCGGCGACGTCGCTAAAGGAGTACCGGACGACCACACGCGGCCGGCGTGCGTTTTCCGTATGACGAGGACGAGACGCGCCGCCGGAGCCCACCGGCTCGGGGTTCCCTTTGAACGGCGCGCTGCGGTCAACGCGAGTCGCGGTGTTCCCTGGCGTTACCAGCGGCTAAGGATTGCCGCACGGGTCGCTCGCTACGTGTTGAATCTGCTCGCGAGAGCCTCCGAGCACTTTTGTTTACGTTTGACTGAGCCTGTGGGAGCGGCGCTGCGATCGTGAGTCTCTCCATCTCCGCGCATGCGCTGGCTGTAAAGCGATAACGCCCAGGACACCCTTCCCTCTCGTTCTTGTATTGATCGGCTCCGAGCTGCTGAGCCGCGTGTGCGCAAGACAGAGGAGCGGGGAGGTTTGACGTGCGAAGGAAACCAGCGAGGAAATAAGCGGCTCCTTCCCACCTGACTCTTGTGCCCGCGCGAGTGGAAAGAGCCGCCAAGAAGAAGGGTAGTTTCGCTTCACCCGCCACGGTGTTTCATCCGACGGGCGTACGAAAAGCAACAGCGCACCAGAAAAACGTCCGAGAGTGAAGAGAGTCGGCGATGACAGAGGAGCTAGGACGTGATTGGACGCAGCTGTGACTTTTGTCTGGCGTGTCGTTTGAGAGACTGAGCAGGAACACTCACAGTAGACGGACTTCCTAATTGTACACCCTTCCTGCAAGACCACTTCGAAACCTGCGCGGGTAGAAACAATATAAAAGTCGGATATCGCTCTACCTCCTGTCTTCTTGCCGGCTACTTCAACCGTCCTCCCCCCCCCCCCCCCCCCCCTGGTAGACTTATCTATACCGCAACGTTGGCTTTCCCTTTTGCACTACGCGCATCTTTTTCGAGGGCCTAGATACCCATTTCAATGGCGTCAACTGTTCAGTTTGATTCTTTTTTTTAATCACTTGCTTCAGATGTTTGAGGACACTTCTTGTATTTTCAACAACGTACTTGCGGTAAAACTTTAGAAAACTGATTTTCCGACCACTAGTAACCTTTGGAATACAGTTTGCCAAGGCGATCGGGTTATGGCGATGTGCTTTTCCAAAAAAAAAAAAAAGCTTTACGAACGTTGTGCCTCATTTCTTTATACCCTTCTCCAGGAGTGTACGTCTATAAGCTTAAAGACATGTATCTGTAAGCCGTAATAAGAAATATATATTAACAATGATTTCGAAACATGACGCAATTCATTACCATAACTGTTCGCAACAGCGTATATCAGCCAATTTGTGTTAGACTCACTCTTTCATGAAATGGTCTGCTGAGTATAAGTGGAACTTGAAACAAAAGGTGCATGAAATTGGTCCCTAGAGTGGTACATTTCTTTGGTATTTTAAGAATAACGGTAATAATATCTGCTGTTTTCCGCCAGTACCAAAATATCATTATGATGCACGCCAGAGTGAAAGGCTCCGGAAGCTAGGACTGTTCTTTATGTGCGCCGAGATCTAACTGTAGATCATAGGCATCTATTCTTCCGCCTTACCAAAAATAGTGTTTTCACGTTCAAGGCCTTCGGCGAATTCGCATGATACTTTTTTTATTTCATTCAAACATTTATTGTCTTAGTTTTGTCGTGTTTCTCTAAAAGATTCCGTAAATTAAATGACGAGAAATTAGTCAATCACTGCGATTGATCAGTGGTTACACGCTTTGGTAGCTGGTATAACAAGGTTGTGGCTTCAAGTTTAAAATTCTGTGACATCATTCAGACGGGCATGAAATGCAGTTACACCCTTCCACCGTGATATAAATGTTTGGAGAAAATGAAATGAATTCTGAACTTGTCATCGCTGCTTCCATCATACTCTCCTGTGCAGGATCGGGAGTTCTTTTATGAATTCTAAAAGCCCTATCACTGAAATTTTGACCGTCAGTAATTACAGCATTTCACTTTGTGGGGATTTTGTAAAGACCTAAATGGAGGAATGGAAGTATAGTGCTCTAGACCATTATGCAAGACACTATGCCCATCATAACGAGAAAACAAATTAGATGGGTGCATAAGAAAACTTGCGACACTCAATTTTGGTAAGCATAAAATCTTGGATAACAAGTTGACCTTCGTACCACACATCAAGTATTTAAAAACAAAATGTTTAAAAGCCATGAATGTTATAAAAGTGTTGTCCCGTACTACATGGGGTAGTGACAGGCAATGTCTCATGAACCTGTATAGAAGTCTCATTCGCACCCGCCTAGATTATGGGGCCGTTGTTTATCAGTCTGCGACTCAATGTGCTTTGAAGATGCTGGATCCCGTGCACCATTGGGGCATCCGCCTTTCTACGGGTGCTTTTCGCACCAGCCCTGTAGAAAGCCTTTGCGTTGAGTCAAATGAATGGTCGCTTAATCTACAAAGAACTTACACGTCCTTTGTATATTTTCTTAAGGTGAAAGCAAACAAGAAGCACCCCTCATACTCCACTATTAATGATTTGTCGAGCTCTATTCTGTTTCAAAACAGCCTTCGATGAGGCAGCCCTTCTTAGTTTGCCTGAAAGGTCTAGCTGAGGAAACTGGAGTGTCACTTGAACACAGTTTAATGGCTCCTGTAGTATACCGGCCACCGTGGCAGTGGCAGATTATAGACTGCAATGTGTCTTTCCTGGAAGTTACAAAACATGCACTTATTGCCCATATCCGAAACTACTTCCTGGAATTTCAACACAAATACACACGTCCTGAGTTCTTTACAGATGCCTCCAAGTCTAACTCCTCTGTGTCCTACGCTGCTGTCGGCCCATCCTTTTCGGATGCTGGCCCTCTACATCCAGGCACAAGTATCTTCACAGCGGAAGCTTACGCGATACTTGTGGCGGCTAAACACATCAAGCAATCACAAATACAAAAAGCAGTAATTTATACGGACTCCCTCAGTGTGGTTACGGCTCTGCACAACCTTAAAAAACAACAAAAAACTGTCCTCGTCTCACTTTACTCTATTTTATGCACACTCTACACACTCAAGCAACATGTTGTAGTGTGCTGGGTGCCAGGGCACCGTGAGATCCAAGGCAACGTGATGGCGGATCAGCTTGCTGCACCCGTCCACGAAATCAGTGCCACTACACCTATATCGATCTCGCCCCTTGATCTTAAGCCGTCTCTCAAACGAAAGCTCAGGGACTACTGGCAGAGCAAGTGGGGTAGACACACACAAAACAAGCTACACATTATCAAGCCACACCTTGGCCATTGGCCACCAGTATCAAAATCACGTCTAACAGAGGTAACACTAACAAGGCTCAGGATAGGACACACATACACGACACACTCATATCTTTTGTCTGGTGGCGATCCACCATTGTGTGACAGATGTGGTGAGGCATTAACAGTTCTTCACGTTTTAATCCAGTGTAAACAATTAGACACTCTAAGAAGACAACACTTTCTATTACCCTACCGACAACATATACCATTACACCCCGCAATGTTTGTCGGTAGGGAACCACTTTTCACCCATAATCATTGCTAGCTTTTTTAAGAGATGTCGGTTTTTACCATGTAATATACCCAGGCATTGCGTAGCGTGACCTCTCAAGAGAGGTTGCTGCTGCAGTGGCTACATTGAGAAGCACTTGCCTCTCGGCCCTTGGACACAAGGGCACTGATGAGGCATTTGTGCTAGTGCCAAATATTTTTACACATGCCTTTATTATCGAAACCTGTTGTCACCCATTTTTACTATCCGTATCACGCCATTGCCATGATTTTATTAGTTTTGTTTTTACCCGCGTTAGCGCGAGGAATTTTAAGGCCCCTATACAGCCACGCACTATATCATTGTCCACATATTTAGTCACTGAAATGGCACTTTTTGGCCACCAATTGGCCCTTGCGCCATTCAGCCCTACAAATCATCAAAATCTTTTTTGAGCAAAAAAAAAACGGGACAAAATATCTGAAAACAACAGCAGTAAGGGTGGCGATAAGTGGGAGAGACCCTGAAGAGTCTTCGTAGAACCCTTTCACTTGCGGCTTTAACTTCGTGTTCTGTTACCAATCGAGTGACACCACGTGGCTGGTAACAAAAACAAAACACTACTCAGTGCCAGTTGTAGGTCAGACATCAGTCTGGCAGCTTCCACCAGCGACAGCATAACACCATCAGGCTTACCTCTGCTTTACTGTTGAAGCTAATGTACGTGTTTCTCGTTGGGAGCAATTCAGACTGTAATGGTGTTCATCCTGATGAAGTATGAAAGTGTGGAAGTTGCTTTCAGTTTACTTGTAGTGAAACTGCCACAGCAGAAACCTGGCCGCTAAAGTCTGTTTCACATGCGAACGATTTTGCTCCAAGCGCAGAGCGGTAGCCGTCGCGTGAGCCCAGAACAAGTTTCTATACCGTCTACTATACGCGGCGATGAACATCGCCACAGTTGAAAAAACTCGCCCTCGGCAGAGCTTCTCACCAAAGAGTGGCACTTTCGGGTTGGTGGCCAACCGGTGGGTGGCCACATGCGACGTGGGTGGCACGTGACGGCAGGGCGGGTTTGAGGAGCGGGCATGCACACAGAGAGGAGCTCACTCCGACTCGGTCGTACGGAAAACACTGCCCATCAGAGCCGCTGGCGTCGCGCAAAAGCAGCGCATGTGAATCAAACTCGCATTCTCGTCTTCTGGTGCCGCTCAGTCATTAGCATGTGAAACAGACATAAGGTGATGCGCAGCGAGCTTCAACTTGTGATTCAGATTACCAGCCATGACGGCCACGTGTCGCTGTGGACGAAACGCAGAAACACCGGTGTGCTCAGATTTAGACGCGCTCTAAAAACCGTAGGTGGTCGAAGTATATTCAGAGTCTCCCTGTGCAGCGTTCGTCAAAATCATGTTGTAGTTTTTATGCTTAAAATTGCATAATTACATATTTACATATGAATTCGCTCTATTTAGCTCTTAAAAAAAAGAGGAAGCTAACACTATACGCGTACAGTGATTAAGTTAAGTTACGCCAGACTATGCATACAGAAAAAACAAAAAAGGGGGAGGACCAGTTGGCTAGCCTTTCCTCGTATTCACGCATGTATAATGAGGGGAAAAACATAAATTAAAAACTAGTTACTTCGGCGCACATGAGTATAGAAAAATACGGCCCTAGGCATTGATAATGATTCCCTCCAAATTCTCTACATAAAATTTTTTTCTTGCAAGGGACAAAGCTTAACGCAAAAAAAAGGGGGGGGGGGAGATAAAGTACGGGAAATAAACTGCAGGCGCGTCCGGTTTACTTCCATGTATTCTGAAAATCGATCAGGGAATAAAAGAAGAAAACGACGAATGCTATTTTATTCGAAAGTTGCGAAAAACAAAGCACTCTTGTTTTGTTGGGC